TTCCAAAGCAGATCATCACCTGAGATTTAGCCAGACCCCCCTTGATGGATCTTCTTAATTCCAGCTAAAAACAGATCCCTGAAATGTATAAAATTTTAATGAATTTCCGATTGTTTCTTTCTCTGTTATTGTGTGTTCAGGCGTGGATGTGCAAACGCCATTTTCCATTATTGATCTTAGAACCCTGATTCAAACAAGACATCAAATTTTGCTACTGCAGTTGTACCTAGCATTTGCTTCAACCTGTAAATGAATAGAAAATTATTACTCCCATATTCAAATATACAAGAATCTGGATAAAACAACATTGCTCATTTAATTAACCAATGAGAGAAATAAAATTGCAGACTGAATGTTAACCCATTAACAAAGAGTGTTGAGATATCCAGAACCCCAGTGGAGTCTTGCCATCTGGTATAGCAGGAGCCTCAAAACCAGAGTAGGGAACACTGCTAAGGAGATGGTGGATGACTGGAGGAGAGGAGAATTCCATGAAAAGGTCACATCATGCTTCTATGCACCACACAGATCACATGTTACCTCCAGAATCTCTCAGAATCTTAAGGGGGTTATTAATAAATATCATGCAGGGCCCTGACAGGAGAAAGACAGGGCTGATCATTGAGAAATGGATACAGACTTTGGACCAGATGGAAGGTGCTCAGGAAGGACATTTCCAGAAATAGATCCCATATGGTGATAAAATATAACAAATAGAAAACAATCACCCAGCCTTCAAATATCATCCTTATGTGTTAAAATAGTTTAAAGGTGAAATAAATGAAAGTAAATGAGCTGTCCCACAGAAGGGAATGTTTGTCAGATGATAACAATCCAAATCCCTAGACTTTTCTTGTGAGTGTCACATGATAGGAAATCCTAGCAAATACTGAATCCCACCCACAGTGTCTGGAACACAGTGTAATGAAAAAGGACAAGATCAGAGAGAGCTGCAGGACCCAGGTTCATCTGAGAGAACTCAGTGAACCTGCAGACAGCAGCAGAGACAGAAGAGAAGACAGGACAGCCTTGAGAAACCTTCGCCTCCACCATCTCCTTCAAAATGCTCAGAGCCCCCAAAGCCTCAAGCCCATTTCTGCCTCACCCCTTGGTGATCACTGCAAGATTTTTCTCATCTGGGTATTTGGGACATCCAGATTTGCCATGAGATGCAGCTAGAGTCACAGACCCAGAAGAACACATCTGCCAGACATGTTCTTTGAACCAACTGATCACACACTTGACAAACTCAAAGATATTTGTGTCCAGGTCTATATTAATTTCTAATGTCATGAATAGAAAAGAACAGTATCTGGAGCCCACCAAACCAGCATTGTGTTCTTCCTGGTTAGAATGTGTCCTGTAGAGTGTGGGTCTTCCACATGCAGGTGAACTCTTTCACAAGGCAACTGCTACATCCAATTGATGACCCTGAAACCACATTACCATGATCAGTGGGCCAAGATGCTGATATTCAGTCACCTCTTGCCATGTGTAGGAGACACTCTATGACATGCATAAGAACAAGACAGGTCCTGGTCTATAGTGGGAGAGCATAAGGGAAATTGGCATTGGACCTACCCTGCACCTCAATCAAGAGCTGCTTCCAAAAAATGGACATGTGCCTCCAGGACATGGATCCTTTCATGATGTAAAATTAGAAACCTGTAAAGATGGCAATCCTTCATTTATCTTTCTTCTATAGGAGCCCTGGTAGGGACAATCAGGGGAATATAGGACTCCTTCATCCACAAATGTTCTAGTTTTCTTTTGGCAACACAAGCAGGAGTCTGGGTTAGAGAAGTCATTTTCTTCACAGATGGATGATAATTTTCCAGGACCCCAGTGCACACTGTAGGAAACCCAGGGTGCAATTTAAAATATTTTACAACTTCATGTGTTTTTTTGAATTCTCACATTGAATGGACTGCAGTAACATGAAGAAAGGCCCTGAGGACACTGGTTTTGAAACAGGAGGGCACAGAGCAGAAGAAGCTGTAGGGCCCCGTAAAAGTAGCTTTCCCTTATGTCAGCCTTGTGTCCCAGAATAGATACACTTGTTCAAAAAAAATGGACACTGAGACTATGTCAGGAAAGCCAGGCATAAACCCCCTGTAGAGGCCACTTCCTTCTCAAGGATGCCCTGCTAAATGACTCTGGGCTTTCTCTGGATCCCAACACTTCAATCGTGGTGATTCCTTGGGAATGATGGATAGGTGACAAAAAGGGGACAGATTAGGTGGGAGCTGGACATAGTACCATCTGAGTTGGATCTAAGACATGTCAGGTATCCCATTTCAGAGTGCTCAACTTGGATAAAGGCAGCAGTACAGAGCATTTCTAATCAGTAGGCACTAATTTTATTTTAGCTTTTTATATAACATTGTAAGTTATCATCCTGTGTTGTCTCCTACTTGTTACTCCTGAACAATTTAGGGTCCAAATGATTTGTGCACACAGGATCTGGAGTTTGTGATTACTACAGGCTTTAATTCAATACAATGCACTCAACTCCAGAGAGGAGTCAAAGAGCCTGTATTGTAGCAGCTGCCCTCTGTGCACCTGAGGACCCTGCTGTGTACCACTGTGTGAGAGACACAGTGAGTGTGATCAGTATACACCAAGACAGAAAAACCATCTGAATACAGAATATTGAGCTTTAGTGCACTGAGGATCTATGCTGCACTGTAACACAGGCCATGATCCGTGCAGAGTTAGAATGGCAAGGGGATTCCTGATGGGACTATAGAATTTATGTGTGCTCATAGACACACAGACAAAGACACATACACAGACACAGACACCTAGACAGGAAGAAGGACACACAGAGACACACAGGCACACTTAGTATGCTTGGACCCTTTCTCTTTTGAAGTACCTACTTTGAGTATTATCCTATATCTTACCAATATGATTTAAGCTCTTGTGCTCTGTTTAATACTCCCACCCTGGTCGGATCTTTGGAATGTATGAACAAAAATACACCTCCACTAAAATATATCATTTCCAGTATCTGAATTTTTCAGATACTTTCTCACAGTGATAGTACAGTAACACAAATGCAGAATGGCAAAAATTCAGGTACCATCTCTTCTTGTAAGTACAAAAACACTCAGGAATCCAAAGTGCATTTATAACAGAATTTATTTAATTTTAAGACCAATAAAGTGCCTTTGCAAATATGGAGGTTGTAACAAAGACCATGTGCCAATTAATCTGCTGGAATTTCATAAGGAACCTGCTAGTGCCAGGTTTCCAATCTTTTCTAAGATGTGAATTAGGGGCTCAGAAGCCTGATGCTTAGAAACAGAAATTTATGAAGTTGATATTAAATACACCCATCACATTAAATCTGGTTAAATACATGATTTTTTTTATTTAAAGAGAAAAAAAAGAAAAGAAATAAAATAAAAAAAAATAAAGCAGTAAAAGGGTACAAATAATACAGAATTTCAAGAAAAAAATACAGTAAGATATCACTAGTTAATAGGTTACATATTGTCATCTTTGAAACAGTTGTCCAAATTATAAAATTAAAGCATATAAAGTGAGCATTCATACAATGAGATTGCAGACAGTGCCAATCAATGATCCAACAAAAGTCCTGTAATATGATTGGTAATTAAAAAACTCAATCAGCACACTTATTAAAAAGTCTCTTATTCAAGAGGCATTGTTATTATGTAGAGAGCAAGACTATTATCAATAGCCATTCCAGTAATCATTGCACAGAAAATTATTGAACTTTTTAATTTGGTAAAAACTGAGCCCTGGGACTAAAAAGGACAAGGAATGTCACTGTGTACAAAAACAGGAATTAAAGAGAGATATTTTACTTATTTCACTAGAAGGTAAAAAAGAAAAGAAAAAAATTTTTGGCTGCTCAATAAGTGAAATCCATAAAAAAGTCAAATGATTTTCTACCTGACCTACTTACTGGTAGAGGTGCATACTCTACTACTGTCCTTTAGTAAATGAGTGAATGTAACATTCATAAAAATAAGGACTTAGAGATTGCAAGATTGAAAGGGAAAGTAAAACCACTTCATTTGGAAGAAGGAAAAGAAATGAAGATCAGACAGCTACCTTCAAGAAGGTAATAGCTGGCCTTTATTCCTGGCTGCATTGCTTCAAGAGGCAAACATGCCCTTTCCCTGGAAATTGTGCCAGGCCCTGGGATCCCAACTCAGGTACCATTGCCAGCCTGGAAATTCCTACTTCAGCTTCATTACATTTTCTTTCATGCTGTCTGTGTTTTACATCTAAAATTGATGGCTTGGTTAAAACCAACCTTAGATATGAAGTCAAGTCAACAATTAGGTGACAGAATAATGCTCTAATTTAATGACCTTAGAGTGGAGTATATTCATACATGCCAAAAATGTTTTCACTTCCAGTTTAAAGTGTTTCTGTATCCCACACTTGATATCAGAAAGTGATCAAGTGGATCAAGTACAGGACTCTGTTTCAGCAATTTTTGTGAACCTCATACTTGGCTAGTGTATCTTCAAAATTTAGGTATTAGTTATGACACAGGATAGAGTATGAAGCTTTTCTGAAACAGCTGGCCTGTTGGATTTTCCTTCATCTTTATTTTTCCTAGAATTCTGTTAATATTTTTGTGTAGGTTCTTCAATGTAATGGATTTCTCTTGCTAATTGCATATTAAATAGTTCAATGAAAATGATCAGACTGAGAGAGTCCCTGTGAAAATCAGAGCAATAAAGCTTATGGCCTCATTCCTAACACTAGCCCCTACCCATTCCAGTTTTTCCTGGTCTGACCTGGGCAAGTAATCTTCTCTCCTCAAGGACTTGGTTTTTCCAGAGGACATTCACCTGGGAATATTTAGGACCCAGCTTCAGGAAAGTGTGCTGAGCCCTTTCAGAAACCCAGGTGAGCTCTGAAAAGCTGGTAGTACAGCCTTTAAATGGAAACATTAATCCTGCGGTTGCCAGTGACATCACAGGCGAGAGATGGGCCCAGGAGCCAATCATTGATAAAGTTGGGGCTGGCTGCTCACCCAATCAAGTGGACCAAGGGAGGAGGGCTCTTCCCAGTCCTGTTGCAGAAGTGCTTACTTAGAGTTTGGTGATGAGATCCTGGAGCTGAGCTTACATCTCTGGTTCCTGTGACTTCTTACTGAGGGTTGCAAAAGATCCTTGGAAATCCTCAAGCATCACAATGGTAACTTATTGGTACTGGAGCTGGGAATGGGATGGAATTGTGTGAGTTTTGGAAGGAAATAGGCAGAATTATTGCAAGCTTAGAGCATCATTTAGGGCAGCCCCAGGTACAGCTGTGTTTGAAGAGTGAAGTAGTTTGGGGCAATCCTGAGTTCTCTTCTCAGAATAAGGAAAAACTGTCATCTGAATTCCTTCTCTGAGAACTCTACTTGAAATGATATTACCACATAATCAGAACACACAGTATCACCACACTGACTGTCAAGTTCTGGAGCCAAAATGAGAAATGAGAATAGCTCCTTGACTTCAGGAATGTTTCTCATGGGGATAATCAGCTGGCCAGCTACACATGGCTCTGTGGATTTAAAATCGATCTCCACCTACCTATATGTGTATCTTTCTTTACATTTCTCCTTTCTTTTCTGTTTTATTTTTTATTGTTTGGATACAGAGCATATCTATGTAGTCAGGCCTGACCTTGAGCTCTGGGTCATGCTCCTCCATCAGCCTCCAATGTAAGGAAATTATAGTCCTGGGTCACCGCATCCAGAAAAAAGAACCACTTTGAGACCAGGTTCTCTAACCCATTTCTTCAGCCTGTGGGGTCTACAGGAAACAGGGTTTAGAAATAAACTGGCTATTTGTATTTACCTTTCTGTTATCTCAGGAATTTAGTAATTAGCAGCTGCACATCGGCTGCTAGTAGAATGGAATCTGCATTTTATTGTGGGGGAGAAAATTCACTGCTGATTCAAAGCCCTAGGTCACGGTCTAGTCTTGTTTTAATTCTTATCAAAGCTACTAATTTGGCAAATTTATCTCTGGCCCTTTCCTTTCCTAGTGTCTATTTTTTAAGTTAAGTAATGAAAACATTTTACATTTAACTACTGAAGCAAAGATTTTCAGAGTTTAGAATGCTGTGAAGTATTTGTGGGGTGCTCCTGAGGGGAAAGTTCCTGCAGAGAACAACTTCCTGTAGGTGGTGCATGTTAATCCCACCCTGAGAAACACTGCAACCTGTTGTTTACCAGGATGTAGAAATGTGATAAATATGAGAATGAAAATGGAAATGTGTCCCTTCTGAAAGAATGGCTGTAGCCTTAGGACTGTGCTTAGAAATTGGCCTGAAATTTGAAACATGTTTGGGATGTGGCATATTAACTTAATCCCAGTATTCAGGAGGTGGAACAGGAGGATCCTTGCAATTTTAAGCAAGTCTGGTCTTTAAAGTGAGCTCAGGGCCATAGTGTACTGCATTGTGAGACCCTGTCTCAATAAGAGAAAATTTGCAGGCTGAGATGAGCTTTTTGCTGAAGTAGAAGTATATTTAGAGTCAGGATCTGCATGAGTATTCAAGATTAAGAACAAAAGGCTTTTTTGAATGAGAAGGAGCAAAGATGACTGAAAGGAAATGGGGGAGCCTGGGCATGTTGAGGGAGGCCCAATCAGAAGCCAGAACAGTGAAGGATTTCTTAGATGAGCCTGAGCTTGTATGACTGCCCTAAAGGAAAGTCTACTTGCTAGGACTAAGAGTAGGAAAAGAGTCACAGGCATATAGAAAAAAGGGAATCTTTGTCATGGACAAATACTGCTACTGGTCTACTGATCAGTTTGCATAATCGTCTTGATGTAAATAGGAAATTAATACACTAGTATTGGAGGTTTGAAAATATGTTAGACATCCTAGCTAAAGTAGCGTGGGAAAGTTTTTCTGTTGGACACCATACATTTTAAGGCATAGATGGTGTTTCTTATTGTCCAATGACTGACCTCAGAAATTTGGCCACCACTTTCAACCTCCCAAATTTGAAAAAATATTTTAATTAAACAAAATTTTTGTTGCAGTTGGAGAAGTGGTCTTACTACTTTGCCCGAGGTGGCAAGAAGTGTTTAGACTTTTCCAGCACTTTGACTGTTGAGCTTGATATAGGAGAATGAAACTATCAACCTACTATATTTCCAGTATAGCTCTTGTTCTCAGAATTTTAAGAATGAATTTTATAAAGAATGGGATTAAAAGCAAAAATATTTATTGAGAGAAAGAAAGCCTCTGTCTGAGAGAGAGAAGGGCTGCTAAGAAGGTTGCCAAAGGATGTACCTTGTAGACATTTTTATAGAGTAAAACCATGAGGTGAGGCCAGTCTAAAGAGGGAAGAATGAGAAATCACAAGGCAGGCAGGCATGAGGGGTGAAAGAGATATGGTCAGCCAATAAGTTTAATTTTTCAGATAAGTTGACTAAATCAGGGACAAATGGGGAAACCAGTCACTTGGCAAGCAAGCATTCTTTAATGAATCAGTGACTCTTCCTGTAGGAGGGTGATTCCTTGCTTCTCAATCCATACCTAATTCCTAAGGATTATACTTAAGGGTGTGGCTGCATTTCCTTTACTTCTATTTTGAGATCTGGCCCAGAGTAAGAGGTGTGTGGCTTCTCCAAAGTCACTAGAAATCTGGTCCTCTATGCCAGCTAATTTGAGTGCCTAGCTCTGTCTGACTGACTGCCTGTAATAATTCTAACTAGCTCAGCTGCCTGTAACATGTTGACAGACATGTGCTACCTTCTTAGATATATTGTTGTGCCTCTACTTTGGTGTAGAGCACTGGGTCTACTTCTGTGGTTCACACTGTCCTAAACTCTCAGAGTCTCATGCATCATCTTCTGTAGTTCTGGGGTTTCAGGCATGCACTACTATGCCTGGATTAGTGTTTTAATTTTTATGTCATCACATTTCACTAAGGTTTCAGTGTTGGGGTAAAGTAAACAACACTGTGTCATGAAGGTTTACAGATATAATACCAGCCACTTGGGAGAGTTACAGTGATTATAAACCAAGGCCACCCTGGATAAGTGATTGAGAATTTTTTCAATAAGAGATGTACATTGTTGTTTTATGTCCACACCAGATTATCTTTTCTACAGTCCATGTGGCCCTTAGATATTGAAGAGAAAATGTTTGTGGATTAAACTTTTATTGAACTTTTATGTTGATGCATAGTTTCTACTATTGATACATGGCACAATGCAAAGCTTTACTGCTCATGTCAGGGGACATCCAGATAACTGTGTGGTCTCCACAAAAAGACACCATGGGAGAACAATGAATGATTCAAAGTGTCCTGCATTCAGTAAGGTACATATGATATTTAGTGTTGTGTTATTAATTTGTATTTCTTTTATATCTGAAATAAAGATCAAGGCATTCATTTTCTGCATGTTGAAAAAAATCTGATGTTTAGTGATGCTGTTTGGCATTTCACATTTGTTCTTGTGCTTATTCAATGCATTTTGTCATCAGTTACATTTAGGTTGATATAGTCATTTTCCAGTTGAGACTCAAATATCACTTTTATGTCATTCCTTCCAAGTATTCATATTGTCCTCTGTACATGTGTATATATTGTCTTCATATTGTCCTCTGTCCCACTTGCTTCCAATTTGGGGAGCTGTATTCATCTGTTTCTCCTGATAAGCTCTATGAGGAGAGCAGTGCAATGCTTTTTGTCAATGCATACACTACTGTGGGTGTTTTGTGTCTTTTTTCCCCTGGATTTTTATTATTATTATTCTATGGAGGTAGTCCAATCTGGTCATATTTCTTGACATGTATCCCCTGTCAAGAAGATTAAATGGAAATTTTAAATTGGCACAACTGAGCTGATGGTTAGACATTAGGGTTAGGTTAGACATAACAAGTATTTCTGTATTATATCTTTTAATGACATCTCTGTAACAAAGCTTCAGGTTTATAATTTCAGTTCAGTAGTGTTATTCAGCCTCCGAAGGATTCAAACTTCTGGCAGTTTCAGCTTTTTAAAGGGAGAGGAGTTTATAAGGATCCTAGGACTTACTAGAGTACAGATTACATACATAGTTGTGTGAGCACACAGAAAGAGTTCCAAATGGTGAATGGTGCATAAAAATTACTAGGCAGGGCACCTAGGCCTATACCCAAGTAAAGTGGAGAAGGAGATTATGCACAGGAAAAATGGACAATTCACATTGGATATTTTGTGATTAGTTTTCCCTTTTAAAAAATGAAATTTGGGATTATTTGATTTTTTCATGATACAAATTATTGCTTTAATTCCATGAGTATAATGTAGTACACTTGAATATGACAAGGAAGATTATGTCTCATGTACAGATAATTTTGTGAATCTTTTCCTTCTGAGGAAATGACTCTGGTAGCTGTAGGATTTTTTTTTTTTGGTAAAATGTATTCTTTTTCTCCTGTGAAGTTTTAAGAGAATCAGAAAATAATTACTACATATGAAGAATATCTATGAAAGGAATTCTTAGCCAATGAAGATTAATGTTTTGTGATGACTATTTGGGGTGCATCTCATAATGTGTATGAATATCCCATTCCGTTTTTAAAGCTATGAACTTCTTTGTGCATAACTGGTTTATATAACATGGGAAATAACTCACTTTGTTTGTGCTTGAAAACCACCAGTATGTCCTGGGTATGATATTAAAGGGAAAATAAGTCTCTTATTTTTTGAGCATGAGCACAGATGTTTGCCATTGCCTTAGGACATTGGCCTCAGGTTTGCTCATGTTCTCAAAATAAAATCTTCAACCTGCCAGTGGGGATTCTTCAGCAGAGACTGAGATTGGGAAGCAGGGGCCATGCACCAGATGTAATCTCATAGATCATGATTCCTCACCATATGAAACTATATCCAGACATGTCTTTCCTAATAACCTTGGAGTCATCAAACTTACAAAACATGACAGTAGAAATCTAAGCATAAGGAGTTTCAAGTTGAGTACATTACTTTGGAAAAATTACTAAGCCACAAGAAATTAACTTTCAACCATTGAGAAGGAAAGGGATATTATGGTAAATTTACTATGCTATGTTCTTGCCTCATAACAAGGAAATAATTGAGGGTGAGGCTACGTGTAGCTCTCATTATGCTTCCTGCTAGGGTTAGTTTTCATAAGTCTGGAATCCTTTGTGATGGAGGGTAAAGTCAGGTGACATTGATCAATATTTTATCACAGCCATAGGAAGTGGCAGAGACATCTAACTATGCTAAATAAAATGAAAGTTAAAATATGAAATCTTAAAAATACAGATTGTGTCCTACACATTAAGCTTCATTGGAATGATGGTTATTTCCAGAACTAATGAACACACCCTCAGAATTAAAAGTCATTTTAGGATGTTTAAAAATCACATAATGATTTTTTATAAAGTTTAACATAATCAAATTTTAACATACATTTTAGCATTGGTTATTATGAAAGTAATTGTTAGGACCCTTGCCAGGCTTGTGTAAACTACTCTCTTATATCTAGAGTAGTGTGATAAATGAGTAAACTATTGAACACATTAGCTTCTACAGTTCATAGTGCTAAAAGCTGGATGTATGATAAGAATTTAAATAATGGAATGTTAAATAATGCTGAAAAGCACTAGTTGCAAAGGGGTTTAAACTTGTGCCTGTTAAACCCACATATTGGTCTCTTTGAAGTAGGGAATTCACATGTACATGCAATTTTTTTAAACTGAGAATCAAACTCAAAATCTCACATTTCAAGGCAGGTACTGTGCTGTTGAGCTATATCCCTGGCCTTGTAAAATAATTTTTTGCTCTGAGTGCAGAGGGGAAAAGCACCATTGATCATGTAATTATTATAATCCATTGATAGTTACTGGAATTTGTTTAAAAAGTCATGCTAAGTGATGCACTTTGTGCTTTTTATAGCAGTTTCATAAACGGTTTTCGCATTTTTGAAATTATGTCAATGTGAATTGTACTTGGTACAATACTCATAATTTGCAATCCACTTGTTTATATCTGATACATATTTACATGGCACACAAAAGTAACTAATACAAAAACAATAGTGTGTATTTTCAGGCATCATAGCACAAAGTGTTTTCTAGACTTTAGAAAAAAGTCTGTGGAATTTCATAACCTTATAAGTAAAGGAGTTTGTGGAATTCAGGAGCTGAGTGTTGAGTTAATGAATTACTTTGTTCTTCCACACTTCAGTACTGTTTGGTGATTTTTACAAACGAGATTTACATTTTTTTTTCTATTCACTATTTCTCCTGAGTCAAATAACTTTTTGATATTTATAGACTTGTCCTCACTGATCTTAACTCTATAAGTAAAATCTTTGTATTGTGTTCCCAATCAGTGTTTTCTTGACTAATCCCCATCTTCATAGATTTCAATTTCTTTTCATTTTCTTTGCTGCTTGATTTTCTTCTGAGGAAACTGTGTCATTAACTGAGTGTTTTTTAGTATAAATTATACAATCATTCCTTTTTCTCTATCCCATTTCAGTGTTCTCCAATGCACATATGTAAGGAGAGTGTACAGTCTAGATGTATAAAGATATGCCTGTCTGTCTCTGAATGTAAATGAAACACATTGTGCTTTATTCCTGAGACACATAGCATTGGCTCAATCATGAAACAATGTTCTACTTGAATTGAAGGTTCTCTTCCTTTCCTGCAACCCATTTGTCATTCTCTGTGAATCTTTCACTGATGTTAATGTTGAAATTTGAACATTTCCCATATTTATAATGCAAAATATATCCTTGCTTCCAAGTATTGAAATTTTGTAGGCTTTTTTTTGTAACTTTCACCTATCATCAAAGGTATATTTAGTTTGTTTCTTTTTGGTGTTAGAAATTGATCTCAGGACCTTACATGTGTCAGCCAGATGTTCGTACCACCAAGATATAGTCCTGGAACAAAGATGTAATTGGTAAATTGCTATAAATTAATTTTAATGTTCATTCAGTGAAGGAGTTTGATGAATGGCCTCACTTTGAACTGGCCTTATTGCATAGACCAGACTGGACACTGTGCACAGGGCAATCCTGAAATTCCTTCTTCTATCAGCCTCTCAAGTGCTGGGGTAACAGACTTGTACTACAAAAATGGGCTGAATCTCTACCTTTTGTATTTAGTAACCAGTTACCTTGTTATACCTCAATTTTCATTGTATTTTAAATATTTCATATATATTCTTTTCCACATTAACTTTTTTTACTCCCTAATAGAACTTCTAGTATTCAAGTAAAAAGATACAATTTGGTATCTGTGAACTATAGGTTTATAATTACAATTTATAAATTCCTTGTCCATAGAATGCTCAATAAACCTTAATTTTCATTTATATTTTAGTAATTCATAACCCTCCTTTTATATTCTACTAAATATTTATGTATGAAACCAGTTTCAAGAGTCTAAATGCTGTATGCAAGAAAAATGAACACATTGCTATGAATAACCAGATGTTTGTGAGCGGCGATTTGCAGGCTCCCTCTTTGAGCTCTGCTTTAAAGCAAGAGAAAAGTATAGTATAGGAGGCCCTGCAGGACAATCCATGCTACAGTTCTTTGATCATTTTGACAGGGTGTAATAGTCTAGCATGAATGTTACTGAGTGACTATATTTGGATGTACTTTAGGATTGATGGTGATGACATGCAGTTACTACATAATGACCTTCAGTTAGACTGTTTATGACAGGAGCTGTGAAAAAGCAGGTTGAGTGTGTCTGAACTTCAGGGCAATTGCCATTATTTAGGAGACAGTGACTTTTGAAGATGTAGCTCTGAACTTCACCCCAGAAGAGTGGGATTTGCTGAATGAATCCCAAAAGAATCTCTACAGAGATGTGATGTGGGAAATATCTATGAATATTAATGCTACAGGTAAGGATGATATTTTTGTTTATTTATATAAGCAGAAATAATTATTTCTCAGTAATATAGTTTTATATAATTGATAATTATAACATTTGCTTGTAATCTCATGCCCAATTATATTATACCATGAGTATAAGTGGAATCAGTCATGTTTTAATGTAAATTTATAGTGAATTTTGTAAAATGTCTGTCTGTAATACAGGAAGATATGGTGTAGCCAACAAATTAAAGAAGAGGACAAAAATGGCTCAAGAAATCTAAGCTGATCAACACACAAAAGAGAAAGGGAACATTCCTTAAGTTCAGTGTTTGAGCCAACTACTACAACAAAGGTACTGGAAGCAATGAGATCGTGTTACACTTTATTTAACCTAAGAAAAATATCAAAAGAAAAACTTGATTTTATTTTGTATTATCTAGGAATCCATAGAAGAGTATTTGAATGTAGGAATCAGACATAGTGCTGATAGTATGTAATAAATGACACTGTATAATATATTAGTTTGAAAATTGCCTCCACAATCAATATCATGAAACTGTATGGGAGTAAAATTAAATATTGTATTCTGATATGCAGGAAATAAATTTTGAATTTTGTTTGAAATTCATCTTCAAAATATCCATTTATGTATATATGTGAATACTGAGACTTTCATGATCTAAAATTTTTTTACATAAAATCAGGATGTAAAATGCAAATGAATGCTACTGTTATAACAAGTATTTTGAAAATATCCTGTAGAATGTTGAGCTGTTCATGTTAAAGATTTCTCATACATTGTTCATGGATACATAAAATAAAATAGAATAGTAATCAATATTTCAGGTGTCTGAAAAGTACAATAATGTTTCATATTACTCCACATTTGCATCCATCCATATATACATTTTTACTTTTAATCCATGATTTTAGACTGTAGTTCAGGTTGATTTTGAACTTACTGTGTAACTTATACAAACCTGAAACTCAGACTGATCCTCATGCTTTTATCTCCTGACTGTTGAGAGGATTGTACTGTGTAATTATGTGCAGTGATTCAGTATATTGTGAAATACATTAAAATCATCAAACATTAGTGGTCAATCCAGTGTTTTGTTCAATGCAGCATATGAGAGGGCATTTAGAGTGTCGACTCACAGTAACTGAGCTCTGTGAAGAGCCCAGATGCCCATCACTAGATGCCTGCATAAAGAAAATGTAGGGTCAGCTCACCATGGTGATGCATTCTTGCAGTCCCAGTATTCTGAGAGCCTGAATCATCAGGATGACAACTTGAAATTCAGCCCGAGCAAGTTCATGATCAATGAGAATCTCTATCTAAAAAACAAATATTAGATCAGCAAATGTAATTCCCTAGAAGACCTGTGTTTAACGCTCTACACTGAAAAAAAAATATGTTATACAAAGAAGATGATGTCATTTTTCAAGAAACAAAAGGAGTTGGACCTTAAGTGAAATAAGTCAGACAAAGAAATGAAAATATCACAGATTTTCTCTTAAATGGAAATTAAAGCATATTTGATGAGAAAAAGGAAATAGAGATAACACAAGACCAGACATCTGTACATTCTATAGATGAGAAAGATGATCTGCTAAATAGACAAGGGGGAGAATGAAGACCCAAAGAGCTAAAAAAGTAATCAATATTTGATAGTCATTTCTACCAATCTCCTAAAATAATATTATGTAGTGGAATCATACACTAAATGAAAATTTCAAAATGAAAACCATCCTCTTTAGAATAAATATTACTTTGTAAGAAGTCCTGCAGGGCAGTGAGTCAGTTAACCAGCAGAATTACTTAGCAGGCATCAAAAGAAACTTGTCATCATAAATCTGAATTGTTAATGTAGAGCTTCTTTCATTGTGATTGATATCTTTCTTCGTATTTCTTTACAGATGTGATGAAGAAAATTATTTGAGAATTGAAGAGCAGCAATATAAATGTAATGAAGATGTAGAGACCTGCAGTGATTTCCAGTCCTTTCAGAAGCATGAAATGAGAAAGACTGGAGAGAGACTCTGTCAATATGGGCAATGTGGGGAGGACAGCTCTGATCTTAGGGAATAAACTCACCCTGAGAAGAAAATTTTTTCAGGTAAGAAAAGTGTCAAAACCTAACAGTGTTCAAAACCATGGGAGAAATCACAGTTCAGGGAGCTCATATGTACAAAAATACTAAGAGAATAATTCCATGCCTTCATACTATATTGAAAAAATGCTACAAAATATGTTGGAGAGAAAAACCATATAACGGAGAAATGTGCACATGCATTATCTTGCAGCAATTCCTTTAAAAACCATAAAAAACACCGCACTGGAAAGCAAACATGTGAACACAAGCAATGTGGGAATTGATTTAGTACATGCAGTAGCTGTCAAAGACATAAAAGAATTCAAACTGGGGAGAAACTATATATAAGCAAAAAAAAGTGGAACAGCATTCATGAGAACCTCAGAATGTAAAATATGATAGAACTCATACTGGGGAGAAATCATTTGTATGTAAGCAATGTGGGAAATCTTTCAATCAAAATCATAAACTTATAATACATGAAAGAATTCACACTGGGGAGAAACCCTATGTATGCAACAAATGTGGGAAAACATTTAGTAGAGCCTCTGATTTGTAAAGTACATAATAGTATTCACTCTGAGAAGAAGCCATATGTATGTAAGTGGTGTGGAAAATCTTTTAGACACAGAAGATTGTTAAGTAGACATAAAAGATTTCACAGTGTGGAGAAAACCTTGATATGCAAACAATGTGGGAAATCTTTCAGTCAAAATTGTAACTTTCTTGTACATGGAAGAATTCACACTGGTAGAAACCCTATGTATGTGAGGGGTGTCTGAAATATTTCAGTCAAAACGGTAACCTTATACACGAAAAAGTTCACCCTTTTGCAGAAAAAGAAACCCTATTTCTTCAACAAATGAGGCAAAGCATTCAGTACAACTTATTGTTTTAAAGCTCATGATAGAATTCACACTGTGGAGAAGCCATATGTATGTAAGCAGTGTGGCATATCTTTCTGTCAAAATGGTACCCTTACTCATGAAAGAACTCAGACTGGGTAGAACCACAATGGATACAAACAATGTGGCAAAGAATTCAGTATGCAGAGGTGCTGAAAACAAATCTTTTTATTTACATAAGCATTTTTGGATGTCTTTCAGCTTTAGTAGTAGCTTTTGTATATATAAAAGAATTCACTCTGTACAAAAACAGTATCTATATGATGAATGAATAAATGGATGTGTTGATAAATTCTCACTTCATTAACATAAAAGATCCTTCTGGGAAGAAATCCTATGAATGGAAGTAATATAGGAAAACCAGAGCTATTGTCACTACATAAAAGAACTTCCTCTGTGTGGTAATTCTATACTTTTGAACAGTGGTGGAAAGCCTTCAGTGCACAAAAATTTCATTGAATAGAGGAAGTAGGCCCACAAGGTAAAACCCATATGTATTTAGGCAGTGTAGAAAAGATTTGCAACTGTGTTTCCTTTTGCAAACATAAGATTCCCCTCACACTGGGGAGTAACTACATGTGATAAATATTTGGTAAAAGTTCAGCTGACAGAGGAGCTAACCTTCTAAATGATATCATATTGTGTCCAAGGTCTATACATTCAATGTGGAAAGAATTCAGTATTCATGGTTATTGTCATATGTGTGAAAATAATAATAGTTAAGTGAAATCATACATATGTAATGACTATTTTGATAATACTTTGAAAATTGCTCATATAGAGGAGACCTGTTAAAATAATATAAAATTATTGCTGTCAATATATATGCATAGATTTTTTTGAAAACACCCTCAAACATAGCATTGTCCTAAAATGTTCTTATTTCTTGTTTTATAAATCACACTTAAATATCTTTAATAAATCACATTTCTTTAGTCTTAATGAAAAATCACAATTTTAATGAAAATTTAAATACGTTGAATCTTTTTTAGCATGTTTTTGATTCATCAATGTCTTGTCTAGATGGATAACACTGACTTATCTCATGACCATTTTTCCCACCATGATCTATAACTCCTGTATCAGTTTATCAAGAAGGATCTATATGTGTGTATTCAGAAGTGTGCTTATATTTATAGCCTGTATCTATGTATTCATGCTTATGGTAAGATATACCATCACAAATGCAAAAGCAGAACCAGTCACTGACAGAAACAAGAATGAGTTTAAATTAGGGAAAAATATTTTGTACTCAAGAAATTTAGAAAAACATTCAGTACATAAACATGTTATAAAATACCTGTCTGAACTCATACTAAGGAGAAACTCAATGTTGGTGAACATTGTGGAAAACCTTCCGGTCAGTATTGTTACCTTGTCCATAAAATTGTTCACAGTTAGGAGAAACCTTATGAAAGACTTTTGTGAAAGGTTCTGCTGATCATCCAAATTTTCTAGACATAGAAGATCCCACACAAGGAGAAATCTTCTGTATGTGAGCAATGTGGGAAATCTACCAGCCAAAGCCATAGCTTGCAAACACATCAAAGAATTCACAGAGGGAAAACTATGTAGGTAAGCAATTTAGGAAAGCATTAAGTTCACACAGTCACTGACAAAAACAAGAAAGAACACACAATGGGGAGAATGTTTGCATGTAAGCAATGCAACAAATGTTCCCAGCTCCAGTGATTGTAATGACATGAAAAAATTCACACAGGGAAGCAACTCCATGCATTCCAAAAATGAAGAAAAGCATTCAATGCAAAATAAGTCAACAATTAAGGAAATAATACACACAGTTGAGAAAGCCCATTCATACAGTCAGTGTAAGAAGGATTTCTTGAAGATTTTTCATTTTATAAATACTAAATTTCCCACATATTGTGGAGTAACTGTGAAAAACATGTATTAAAAAAAATGCCACTGATAGCCAGGGATTTAGCTCAACAGCATAAACACCTGCCTGGCAAATGAGAGGTCCTGAGTTCAATCCCTAGTACCAAAAAAAAAAAAAATCTGTTGATAGATGCTAACCTCTAAAAGGAAGTCCTATTGTGGCCACAGCCTATGTATGTGAGGTGAGCAAGTCCTTAGTAAATGTGGGTATGGTGAAATGTGTGAAAACCAGGACTATGAAGCAAAATTGCACTTATGTAAGTGACTATTTTGAAAATACTTTGTAAATTATTCATGTTGAAACCTGTAGAAATACCATAGAAAATTGATTTCAATACATATTCATAGATATTCCAGAGATCACACTTGAAAATGGAGATATCCCAAATCATATTCATTTTGTGTTTCAGTGTCACACATAAGAAGCTGATCTATTTGTCTGTAGTGTTACTTTTTTAAAACATCACACTTTTTAAAGATAATTCAAGGATTCTGAAATATTTCCCCACATTTTAGATTCATTGATACTGTCTTCATAGATGACACCTGTTTTCCACAAAAGCATTCTTTTCCACTTGGATCTGTCTCTATTTTTTCTAGAATGATCATTCAGAAGTGTCCTTCACCAGTTTTTATGACATGCATCTATGTAGGTGTGTTTATGATAAGATAATTACAAGAGCAGATTTAAAATATGTATAATTGCATTAGCTCCTGTTTCTAGCACATAATGCAAGTGTTCATCTTTGGAAGGCATCTATGTGTATAGTGGGTCTAAGTTCTTTATTGTTGCCTTAACATCTTCTATTTATATTTTTCCTCTATTTCTTGCTTCTCTCCATTCCTGAAAGATGTATAATCCTACTGCCTATCACACATCATGTACCTTTTTTTTCCTTTGGTACCAAAGATTGAACTGACAACTGCAAGCTTGCAAGGCAGACACTTCTGCCACTTTGGTAAATCTCCAGCCCCTACATTGTGTACTTTTATACAAATGTAAACACCATTCCTCTTATATTAAGTCAGTCATTTGTAAACAGCAGAATCCTGAATATGCAAGTGAATTGGGATGTCATACAATTCCTAAGGTTCAAGGATAATTCCGGAATACGATTGCCAGAATAGAAATAGTGAATGATGGAAATGATGTCACTTTGTGACACCAGAAAAACAGTCAGCAGTGTGCAATGAATAAGGTGATTCTCACATTGTAACATTAGATTTTTTTTTGTCTGAAATGGTCTTGCTATGAAGTTCAGGTGGGCCTTGGGCTCACTTTAGTCCAGGCTGGTCTTGGGCTCACTTTGTAGTTCAGGCTGGCCTTAGGATCAATTTGTAGTCCAAGCTGAATTGAACTTGCATCAATACTTCTGCCTTAGCCTTCTGAGCCCTGGGATTACAGGCATGCACACTCATGCCCAGGTTTTAGCATTAAGTTTACCTAGCAAAAAAATTTCAGGCAAGGAATTTCATACACCACTTTTGCCCCTCTATGTCCAGTATTTGGTGCATGGCACTGTTAACTCTCATAGTCTCCATTTAGGCACATGTTCCACAGTGGCATTTTGGCAGCATTTTATGATATTAAAATATAATTCAGAAATAAATGTTGACCAAGTCTTAATCATGTTCCATTCTCTGTAGCATTCATGAATTTAATGTCACTTGGATTCATCATGGATCTCAGTTTCCTTCATCAGAGGGCTATCATATGATGTGACAACCTGACAAGAAGGTTAAGTGCAAGGAAGGATGAGAAATGAAGAGAGACAAGAGGTTCACAAGATCCTGATTTTACCGTGGTCATTATTCAAATGTCTGTAATTAGTAGCACTGTTAGTAAACACATTCATAAACAGTTAAGTGTATTCCAAAATCATAAATATATATTAAATGTAATGTGTATGTTTCACTGTGTGTAAAATATTACTCTCTAATAGAGGAAAAATACATTGAGGCAGTTATTTCTACACACTTGATTCCGAGGTAGAATATTGCTGGTAAATTCTACAATGTAATTCCAAATTTTACTCCCTTATCTTACTGTTTTATCATTTTTTAAAATAAAATGATTCAGACATAGGCAAGGTGGTGATTTCATGTGATTTAAGCAGTCCAGGAACCTGAGGCAAGATGATTTCAACTTTTCAATTTAAGCCCAGGCTTGGCAACTTGGAAACATAGAGAAAACCTGTCTGCAAATACAAAATGGTACTGTGGAGATAGCTCAGTATAAATATGCTGAATTCCAATCTCAGTCCTGAAAACTTAAATCAGACCTTGTTTCCTGATAATGCAGTAAAACCATTGGCCTCATCTCAAACTCTGAGAAGACCTGGCCTGTTCTCACCCATCCCTCCTTGGAGTTTAGGAATCATGTCCAGAGTACATAGCCTCAAATCACTGCAGTACATTTCCACTCTACTAATGGACATAGGAGTAAATTTGCAAAAAATACAGGTAATCAATCCCTGTTCTCTAAAGACAAGAGCAACCTCATTTTAAGTGCAGTAATGCCCTTGAGAATTTCATCAGCCCATATGTAAAACAAAAATGGCATGTATCAACTTGTTCATCAGTTCAGATTTTAGATCACTTTCCTTTTCCCTTCAGTCTCAAATATTTGGTCTTTCATTACCAGCTATTGGGTGATGCAGGAGGGCTGTGTGCTTTGTGATCTGGAAAGAGGCATAGGGAGATCAGGACATTTAATTATATGGGGTCCTCGTTTATATTTTTGCTGCCATATTTTGGACTGAGTGTCCCCTGCTGATGAAGGCCCCTAGAATTTGGGCCTGGTTGCTGGATGACTTCTGCAGACAGCAGGAATCTATGCACAAGGAAACATCCTAAAGGCTAGGAAGTTAAGTTTGGTGCCAGGGGCTCTGAGCTGGATACAAATGGACTAGATGTTATCTGTTGAAGTTGGAGTCTTCCCATGAAACTTGTGAAGTCTGTGACATGACTTCAGTACTGGCTTCAACCTGATCTCTTCAGGCCTGTGGCATGAGGCTTGACTGGCAGTGGGGACCCCAGTGCCCTGTCCTCTTCCTGATTCAGATTCAGCAACATGCAAAGTGGAACACATTCCACAAAGTCTCCTTCAGCTCTGTGTCTTGACACTATATGGTGACTTCATTTGTACATGTGGAGTCTACAGGTTCATCTGCAGTTTCTACATAGAAACATATTTTTTCCTCCATCCCCAGTCAATTTTTTATCTCAAAAGTCAGTCCTGATTACCCTGCATTAACTGAATGTTTTGGCAGCAAAGAGTCCAGTTCATGAAGTGAAGAGTGAACCAAGCCTTTATAAGGTAAGAATTAAATTTCCATTTTCCAGATCATATCCTCATGGACATATACAATACATGATACATGTGACTGGTTTGAAGGCTGTTTCCATCTTTGACATAATTTGTGGCATGGAGTGCTCTTAAACCTTGTTTCACAAACATGTATCCTGACTGAGGTAGAACATGTTTCATGGAAATAATACAGAAACTTGGGGATACACTGAATGTGTACTTTACCACCATCTCAATCATAGGAAAGAAATTAGCATGAAAGAAAAACCTAATATTGTGGGCCACAGGGGATGATGGAGCACAGCGATATCAACGCCTGGACCAAGGAAGGACTCCCTGAGATCAGATTGTCATAGGTTGAAAATAAAGACTGGGCTGTGACCTACTGAGTGTGACAGAAGTTCAAAGAACATTAGACCTGAAGATGCAATGGAAATGTATGGAGAAATCTGTTGGTATTAACCTTTCAAACATGGTATTTACAAAGGTGAATTCAAACAGTTGAATTTTGGCAAGAAACAATCTAACATTTCCAACTTTCATTTGACAAATGTCTATTCATTTTAGATACCCATTTATTCATCTTTAAATTTAGGAGATCTCATTTCTATTTCATTTCTTTATGTATCCTACATATTAGTACTTTTATGATAAAATACTGGCAAAAAGTAGTTCCCTCACTATGTGTTGTCTCTTCATCCTATGACTGGCTTCTCTTCCACTGTAAAACCTTTGTAGTAAAATGTCACAGCTGTTGATTCTTTGTTATGTTTTCTGTGCAACTGAGGTTTTGTTCATAAAGTTGGCCTCAACCAATGTCATCAAGACTTCTTATCCTATCTTCCCACACATTTTTGATTTTACTATTTATACCTTTGATCAACTTCAATTATAGTTCAGTGCATGGTGAAATCATGGGTCTAGTTTACCCTTTGGTATGTGGAAGCCAGATTTTCCAACTCCATTTATGTAGGTTTACTTCTTCTAGTTAATGTGTTTGGTTCCATTTTCAAAGATTGAATTGGCTGAGTATGCTTGTAGGTATTTCTGAATATTTCAATTTTTCCCCTGGTTCTCAGGTCATTCTTATCTTCTTCTCCAGTAGCAAGTTGTATTTTTAAATCACAGTAGCTTAGCAGCCCAATTTCAAGGCAGAGATTGTGATGTTCCTTGTCCTGCATTTGTTCCAAGAAATGTTTCTGGTATTCTAGGTCTCTTCTGCTTCCAAATAAATTTTTAGGAAAGTTTTCTCTAAATCTGTGACATATGCTACTGTAATTTTGCTATGGATTGCATTAAATCTGTATAATAACTCTGAAAGTATGGACATTTTTACAGAATTCATTCTTCCACAAGAATAAGGGATATCAACACATTTTCTGCTATCCACTTCAATCAATCTTTTAGAAAGCAATATTTTTCAAGAAGAGGTCTTTTACTTTGTTAGATTTATTCCCATGTACGTTCTTTTATTGTGTGGAGCTATTACCATAAATTTTTCCAGTGCCTCCTGTAAAAAATCTAAAAATTAAGAAGTGTTTTTATTATTTATTTAATGTAACATTATTATTGAATAACTGATAACTTAAAATAGTTGAAGCACTTGATTTTTGTGATTTTAGATGTTAAAGCAGGTATACATGATAATATCTCTTATTTTGATGTCCCGTTCTGCTACTAGGCAAACAAGTGTCTTGGACAGGTACTGTTTTGGCTCACGTTGGAATTGTGTATCTCCCTGGCTGTCCATGTTCTGGTTTTCTCAACTAAACAATCCAATATTCATCCCAGATATAATAGCAACCTGTATTTCCATCTGTTTCTCATTGCAAGTCAATGTTTGATTTAAGAGTTTTATTAAATCTTTCCACTCTATCTCATCGGACTGAGCAAGTCATCTGTACACTTTAATGCACTTAGTTTCATCTGAAAACTTTCTTGGATTAAGTTTAATCTGCTTTAGATTAGTGAGAAAAAGAGACTCCTGAACTTAGATAGTTTCTTACGACATAATTATAGTTGGAGTGCAAACAAAAATTACTTCTTTTCTGAAGAAAGTTGGAACATAAGTGTATTGAGACCCTTTGTCAACTTTTCTACATTATGGTCCTTGAAATGGTAGAGAACCATGATTAATAATTCTCTGTGTATTCCATTTTGGTTCTAGAATACATGTTTTTCCTGGGAAGGTTCCAGAAATATCAAATGGCACTATTTTTGTTACTTCATGGCTTTGTGCTTTCCAGGTAAGCTCTTGTGCTATCAGGCTAAAACACTGGCCCTCAAAAGTCACTTTTTCAACATTAAAAAGTAAAACACTTTGCAGTGCTTAAGCATATATTCAAAAACATCAAGGTATTTTGATCTTGTATTCATGTTTAAAAAGGAAAAATATCTGGCATTTGTGTTAAATTATATTTATTTTTATATCCTCAAATCATGCCTTAAGGGAATTCCACTCCAAGTAAGGTGAACACCATCCAAAATGAGCTAAGAAGATAAAATTTGACACACCTATCTCTGCTCAAAATGATGTGTAATTATTTTCTTCTCCAGAAATTTGTCTACTTACTCCCATAAGTGTTTTCATGAGGACGTTAAAATTGATCTCGAAAAAAAAATAAAAAAACCTGTTTACAAAAGAAAGCAGTATTTACCATAAAACTATCTCTTTCTATGGTGATCAATTTTTTGAGTTCTCCAGGAACTATACTCTTGATAGTCTTTGACTGCCAAAGAAATAGCTGGAAAAAATTGTTGCACTAAATATGTGAAATAAATCAGAAAATCTTAAATACTTCATAGTTTGTTTTATGTAAGAAAGTAAGAATATAAATATGTTAAATGGCAAAAAAGAGAGGTAAAAACAAAGATATTTTGAAAAACTAAAGGGAACTAACAAAAGGAGAGATTTTAGAGGAAATGTAGTGAAACAAGAATTAAAGAGATTTAGGCACATGTGTAAGGACCTACAACAAATGCATCCATTATATAATGTAAACACTATTGATAAAAATGAATAACAACCAAAATTTTTAAAAAGGAGGTAGAAAAATTTGAGACGGAGGAAGGTAATCACAAGTAACTTTGACAAACTCATTAAGAGGAGCCACATGAATGCTAATGCTATTGTCTTTCAAAAAAGACCAGAACACAGCACAGGCACACACATTCCCACCACGGGGAAAGAGGTCTGCCAACTGCAACAGGAATGTCCAGGAGCTGGAGCAGGAATCAATCTGCTCACTGACCAGGAGAGCAAAGACCTAGACAGTGGGAATGACATTCATACAGCATCAGATTCTTTGTGGAGAACACAACTGCTCATGACACTCAACATTTGAAATGTTCACAAAGCAAGCATCATTAATATAAAAAGTATGATCTGAGTATATGGACAAAAATGAAAGCAAATGAAGTTAAAAAGACAACAGAGCACTCTTACATGAGCTATCAGACTCTCTTTAACGCATCTATGTTACCAGATTTACTCAGGACACTCACACCTGCTGTGGACAATGCCTGGTCTGAGGGTCTAATCACAACTCTGTTTATATAGCAAGAAGAAAGGCAAATAGGGCCTCCCTGTGCTCATGAAAATCAGCCCAGCCCTCACCCTGCAGATCTGCTGAGGAACCCAGCCCTGGATACCCAGAGGTTCCCACTCAGAGATGAGGGCTGAGCACAGACAATCACTATGGATTTGGGTCTGACTTGTGTTTTCTTGTTTGCACTTATGAAAGGTAAATT